GACTCGTCGAGTTGGGCCTCCAACTTTTCGAGTCCTTACTCTTACTTCCTTGATTCCACTCGCTACTACTCGTCGAGTTTTGGTGCAAACTCGACGAGTTCCCCTTCGCTACTATCACTTCGACAATCTGCATCCGACTCGCCGAGTTGTATGAACAACTCGTCGAGTCTGTTCTTGAAGTATGAAGATGACCTTAGACTCGCCGAGTCAGGGCATTGACTCGCCGAGTTCTTCCACGGATGAGTCTAACCCTCTAGCACACTAAGTCCACCTCTCACTCACTGGTTCCACTCAGCATAACTCGAAAAAGGAAACACAGGGGACTCGCGACTCGACTCGCCGAGTCAGAAGAACGACTCGCCGAGTCGTATGCATGCAAATACTATACACTCTATTCTGCTTGAAACTAATCCATGCCATTAACAGATCTGGGTTCCTGGGACTTGATTTACATGTAAAGTTTCCAACTTTACGTGTAAATAACATCAAATGAAGGTTTTAAGGTTAAAAGCACACTATAATAGTAGATCTAGAGCTTTCATGCAAAATGAAACCATAAAGGTGCTAGATCTAAGCTCCTGGAAATCAAATCTAGCTATATCTGAAGGTTAATCAACCCCATGAATCCTCTATGCTACTACTAAGCTAAGAAATGGATCAAGAATGGCTTCACAAAGGAGATTTAAGCATAGAAACAGAAAAGGGCCAAGATATACCTTACTTTCTTTTGAAATTCCTCAAGGATCTAGGATCTCCTTCTTCTCTTCTTGATCTACCTTCCTTTATCTCTCAAAATCTTCAAAGAACACACCAAAATCATACAAAAATGCAAAGAGGGCTCTAGGGTTCGAGTATGATGCTCTGAGGGGTGATGGGGGCTGACTTGAGGCCCCCAAAAGTTGTTTATATAGGGTGTAAACCCTTGAAATTAGGGTTTCATCTAGACTGGAGGACTCGCCGAGTCCGGGATATGGACTCCCCGAGTCGCCAACTTAAACGTGCTCGAAATCGTGACCCAACTCGATGAGTCCGGCTACTGACTCGTCGAGTTCCCCTTAAAACTTGAAGAAATATAACAATAAATAACAATATACATATCATACCAGAAATGGGGTGTTACAATATCATTTTTATGTGGAAAGCTTTTTCCAACAGATTCGGGAAGACCATAGTTGTCTGAACTAGACATCTACAAGGGAGAAATTCAAGTTAGTTGATTTAAGTCCTTAATATAACACCTAAAACGAAATATTAAGGCTAGGACCCAACACAATATTTTACAATTACGAAGAAGGATGCCATAATCCAATTGTAAAATATTTGAAGGTAGGTAAATAACGATTTACCAGTTTCCACCATGAAAAACAAAATGGTTTATTAAGTTTTAATTGGTTTGAAATTCCTAGATCCTTTGAGATTCATTGAACTTTTCAATGGCATGGTTAAATCCCGATTGTGCTCTTCAAGTTTGTGACTGGGATGCCGAGGATCACAAACAAGGTGTGAATAACCATGCAAATTAGTTTGGTACACCCAATGTTACAGATCACCAAATGAATATGCCGGTTAGCCACACACACTCCATTGATATATGATTAACATCAAGATACCCTTTGCCACACATTGTTAGTCCCATATTAGTGTGTCGGTTAACCACACACGCTCCACTAACGACTTAACAAGGTGAAAAGTGCAATTTCATGGATTCGCACCATTTTTCACATTTTTCCTAAAGTAACTAAGATTGAGAATTTAATAGAAGTTTAGTTACTTTATTTCTTATCATTATACTTTTAATGAGGGAGAATTAATGACATATCCTATCCGTTCGGCTAACGACCCTCCACCGGTCAAGGAAGTGGTGAATGAGAGTGAACACCCATTAAACTGCCATTTTATAGGCAGTAACCTTATACCTCCTTATAGACCGGCTTCGTGAATAAGGCCTACTAACGGTAAGACTGACTTGTTATTATATATATATATAAGTATTAACTTTTAATATTATAATAGTATAGGGTTGAATTTTAACTTTTAAAACTCTAGGGTTTGGAATTGAAGTTTCGTTAATGTAACTTTTCAAGTTCCAAAACTTGAGGGCAAGTTTTGTAACTTGTCAACACTTTTGAAATTCATAACTTATGGATTTTAAAGTTGCATAAACAAGACCTTTCCAATTCCATAACTTGAGGACAAATTATGAACTTTTCATGACTCTTGGTATTTCATAACTTATGAAAATTAATGTTCCATGAATGGTGTGACTTTTCACATTCCATAACTTGAGGACAAGTTATGGAACTATTCAAAAAACATTCATAGATCAAATTAACTAATTCAATTATGATAGGATGATCATTTACCAATTTGTCTTAACTTGATTTATATCTTCAAATTATACAAATAACTAGTATTACACAAAACTAGGGGTGTGCAAAAAACTGCATAAACCGCACAACCCGCCCACACCGCAACGCATAATGCGGTTTGTGGTTCGTAATTTTGTCAAACCGCACTATGCGATGCGGTTTGCGGTTTATAGTTACCAAACTACGGTTCAAACCGCACTGCATCGTGTGTGTGTGTGTGTATATATATATAGATATATATATATATATATATATATATATATATATATATATATATATATATATATATATATATCAAAGTTTCCAATCACCAAATATTTCATACTGTCCAATAACTTTATTCTATATCACGATGGTTAAATATGGTAATTAAAGACTTATGATATCAAATTTCATAAGTTATAACAACTTAGCAAAACATTATGTGGTTTTTTTTTTTTTTTTTGCAATATCTATGCCTTATAAATGGTATGCAATATAATTAATAAAATTTGAAAGTGTTTAAATGTAATTAATAACAACCAAAGTTATAAACTGAAACAACTTATCAAACCGCATAAATTGCACATAAACCGTCCATATGAAACACACCGCATAATGCGGTTTAGAGCTTTTGTGGTGCAGTTTGCGGTTTCCAAAAAACTCAAACCGCATGTGAGGTGCGGTTTGCGGTTTCAACTCTAAACCGCACCAAATCGCACCGCGAACACCCCTACACAAAACAAGTAGTTATCTTAGAATTTGAAAAATATCATGTTATTAGATGGGGATTAACATTACCATTTCATTAAAAACATTTTTTATGAACCAGAACAGTTTGTGGTAATGTTTCTAATCCAAAACAGGCAAAAAATTTGAAGTTTCTGCCATCTGATCATCCAACTCGTCGAGTGCAAGAACTGAACGACGAGTTCATGACCAAATTCATCCAACTCTTCGAGTTCAATCATGGAATCAGTGATTTAGCCCTGACAGAATCCCGAAATTTAATTTTTTTTAGCTTTCAACAATTAGCTAGCATCAAATATAATAGAAAACAATCCTAGGCTCTGATACCACTGTTGGGTTATGAGCACTATAACACTTCCTAAGTACACATGCAACCCTAAATGCAACTAGTTAGATGACTTACCTCTGAGAAGGACTTGTAGTTCTTGACCTTTCAAAGGTTGAGCACCTCAAGTGTGATGCTTGTAAAGGTTCACAAACACCATATGCAAGAGGAGGCTTTAAGAAAATAAGTTACTTGTCTCAAAGAGATGTGGCAACCGATTTTGGTGCATGAAGTGTTCTATTTATATCAAGTGCTAGGGTTAAACTTTGTAAACCTTAATGATCCATGACTTTCCACATTAGTATGCTCCATGAGCTTTAGTTCCATGGACTATCCATGGGTTATATTATTGGTTTAGCCCATCTACATAAACATTGATCACTTAGCCCATACTATAAGAATCATTGATTTACATAATCAATCCCTCCATATTTAATTAGTCTCTTTTGACCACAAAATTAAATCCAAATCAATTCTTGGTCAATACTAATTAAATAACCATATTAATATATTATATTTATAATATATTAATAAAAAATAAATAACCTTATTCTCAAAAAACCATCCTATCAAATTGCACTGGTGAAGACAACCCAAAAGGATCATGCTACTATCGGGTCAAGTACATACCAGTTATAGTTATGGGCTTAGACACTAAATCCAACACATATGGTCACGCCGTAGCGGGGTCATTTAAATCCACAATCAAAACAATACTGTCATGACATGGTGAAGCTCCAGAATGCCGTGGCCAACCAAAAATAGAAGTAGAACATTTATAAATTAATTCATACCTAGAACGGGTGTTATATAACCGTCCTTCAATGAAACGAGGAGAAATTGTTGATCTTCAAGCTTTACTAAAAAATGTAGAAATATGTGTACAACACAACAAAATGCTTAAGAATGTGTGTGTGTGTGTGTGAGAGAGAGAGAGAGAGAGAGAGAATAGGAGGGGTAGGGTTTCTAGAAAATTGCTCAAAGAGGGTATGGAGGTTAAGAATGTTCAAACCTTAGGGGTTAATGAACTTAAAATAACCCCAAAACCCTAATTTAAACGTTTAGCCCAATGGGCCAGACACGCCACATCCAAATAAATGGTGTATCGCACCTCCAGGTAAAATCACATAATCTCAGTTTTTAAGATTTCTGTTAATTAAGCAAAATAAAGCTAAAATCAATTACATATCGGGAATATAGATGTTACACAAATCGAATTGGGCGGAGAACCCCACATCACTTTATTAGGAGCGTGGTAACCTTCCCTAACACAACACATTTTAAAGTCATGAGGGAAGCAAACACCATAAGAACTCTACAATTAAGGAGTTACGGGCAAAAAAAATAATTGGAGACCACTAAGAAGTTTTCATGTCAAGATGCCTTATAAGGGGTGTGCATACTTTCTTTAACACAACATGTTTTAAAGTCATAAGGGCAACAGATCTCATTAGAACTCTTGAATTAAGGTGGTTCAGATGAGTGATCTCTGGGATTTTTTTGTATAGGGTGGCCTAACATTAATATTTGGATCAACAACATCTTGTACTTCATCAGTCATACATAACAGAATTGTGTTATGCGCTTTTTCTAAAATATTTGACTTCACATCTTCCATCATATCCTTCAACAATTTCTTTTCTCATTCCAATGTTGTACACCCATGTTGAACCAGAAGAGCCTTCCTCTTCACCTTCTACATCATGAAGTCATTCGTTCCACTGAATTTTTCCAAATTGAACTTGTTATACAACATCCCTTCAGCAACAGATCTAGCTGCTCGAATAATCGCAACTCAAATACCTATTATTAAGAAGACAAGCAAAGAAAGCTATAAAATGACATAGAGAATCAATGTGGTTCACTTAATGTGACATATGTGATTATATGCACGAGAAGAAACCATATAATTCTTCTATTACTTGATCTTTTTTTAAAAGTGATTCGTTGGAATCCTTAGCTACTAATACTTATAATCTTAAACCCTAGAAAACATAGGGTCAGACCCATATAGTTATCCTTTGAAATCACAATTCATTCGGATCACCAGTTCCAAATCACATTCTAGCAAAAAGAATTTCCCAAATGAGCCTACAAAATTCAAAATTATTGAAATGTGTCTGTAATTTCCCAACTTGTCACCTACAGAACCTAATCCATCCTAAACTATCAGGAATGGTCACCAGAAAAATTGAAAGGAAATATTATCCGAAGGAAGCCTGTCAGTATTTTTGATGGATATCTTTTCCATCGGTAAGAATCCGTCAGTAATACCCTTATTTTGTGGTAACTTGGTGATTGTTGGCACCATGATTGCAAATCTGTGTTGGATTGCAGTTTTTATGGGTTTATGAACATGTAGAGAAATGAAAATCCATACGATTCTACGGGGCATCTAATGATGTAATTATTACTTCATTAACCGAAACTGATCCTGGTTTAGATGAAGTAGAATTTGGTTCAAGCTCATGCAGGTTGTTTAGGTGGAGGCAACATACCCTCGTTACCAAACATGAGAACCACAGATGACATGTTGGCCTATCTTCAACATGATTTTGAACACATAATAAACCAATGTGTACACACCGTAGTACTTTAGAAACAATGCATGATTTGCATAGGGATTCACTAACCAGTTCAAGGGTCTTGTCATCTTTATAGAGTCTCCATGCCTAATGTATATACCATGGCATAAAAAGTAAATTAAGAGCATAGCAAAGAACAGTTTTTAGCAGCTATAGAAGGATTTATGTTCCAAAACTTACATGTCCAAGAAGATTATCTCAGTGCTCCTGATGGGAGAATCCTCCTTGTTAATGTCACATATTCCATTTGGACCACATTGACCATGTTGTGCACACATATCAACAGTAATAGCCGCATATTGAATCCAAGCTTGTATGGGATCAACCCAGTTCAAACGTGCCTGGTGGCCTTGTGGACTTAGATAAGCCCTTGAACGAAATGAACTATTGATAAGTTCCCATTTGAAATATACCTCCTTCTGATATCTTATAATACCATATCCCCAAGTATCGGTTCTTTGAATTTCCAGGGCTACAAAAGCCCATTTCAAACATTTCACAACTTGAGATGATGGTCTCACCGTCTCTTATGTACTCATCTGCACCTATGGTGTCCATTTCAGCATAAATTATGTGGAGCAACTCAAGAAAGATAAGACAGATTAAGTGATTGCCTTTCATGGGTGTTTCTGAATCATGTGTTGTTCAAACTTGCAACCAAACCTACTTGATATACCAATTTTGAATTTTCGGTGATAGGAATCGCATCAACTTTCGGTGTATTTTCTCAGCACCCCAATTTTGAGTTTCCATCTTCCATACATTGTTTTCTTAATTTTTTTATATATCCGTCAATATCAGTTACTACGATGGAAGTCGTATCAAATTGTTTGTTTTGCTTAATATATCTATACCCTTCGAATTGGTACACCTTTTTCAATTCAATTGCTTTCGATGTTTATCATTAGGTCATCCTATTTCCCTTCCCGGGGAGAAGATAACTTGGTGTGACGTCAGCATTATTTCTTTATTTGTAGTCTAAGATTTTTTTTTTCTTATTTAACGCCTTAATGGACAGTCGCATTATTACGAGATTAATGTGTTTTTTTTTTTTTTTTTTTTTTTTTTTTTTTTTTTTTTTTTTTTTTTTTGTGATAAAGTATTTGATAAAATTTATAAACTTTTCAAAAAGCTTGATATATCTTAATAATAAAGTTATTATACCTTTTTCACAAAATTTCAAAATGTTCCCCTTATACACAGATAAAAATTAAGTTTATTGACATTTAGCATGTGGTAAAGATTTATTTGAATGCTTGCCTAACATGCATCCTTCACATACTACTTCAAGTTTATTGACGTTTAGCATCCCACAAACCATATTATGCTGTACACATATATGTCAAGGATCCAAAGTTCATGTGTGATATTTGTGGTGATTAGTCAAATTAAATGACAAGATTGAATCCTCTTAGAACCTTAACGAGAAATTCTATTTAAAGTCGTGTATATCCTCCAATCAAGTTATTACAACTACGATTTTATGTTATGGTCACTATAAACAGTTAAACACCATGAAAGGAAAATTGCATACTCAAGATATGATACTATTGACAAAAGCATGCAACTTCATGATACATAAATAATTACAAAAAAAACCATTAATGGTGGATAAATATACATTACTATTTGGCATATGAATACATATTTCCTACCGAGGATGTAACAGTGTTATAGTTGCTTCATCAACTCCTGAATAAGTGTTGAGTTTAGGCGAATCCTCTTCAGCAAAGAAAGCAGGTTGTCTAGGTGGAGGTAGTGATCCCTCACCACCCAACATCATAACCACAGAGGACATAGTTGGTCTATCTTGTGCATGATTTTGTACACATAATAACCCAACATGTATTGATCTTTTCACCTCTGAGATAATGCATGAGTTGTGTAAAGATGGGCTCATGAGTTCAAGGTACTTGCCTTCTGTATACAGTCTCCATGCCTGGATGAAACCAAAAAGTTAATAAAAATGTTTTCAAAAGATGATAATTAATCCATGAGATTTACTAACATGTCCAAGAAGGTTATCACTGAGATCTTCATGTGAGAATTCTCTGTTTTTCTTCCCACTCACTATCTCCAGCACCAAAACACCAAAACTAAACACATCCGATTTTACAGAGAAACGCCCATGAAGTGCATATTCGGGTGATATGTAACCACTGCAAAACACCAAAAGAATGACATGAGAAAACGAACCCAATAGTGCACATTATTTAGAAACTTACTATGTTCCAACCACTTTCTTCGTTTTGGCTGTAATCTGGTTTCCTTCAAACTCTCTAGCAAGGCCAAAATCTGATATTTTAGGGTTCATGTCATGATCCAACAGAATATTGGCTGCTTTGAGATCTCTGTGTATGATTCGAAGGCGAGAATCTTGGTGGAGATAGAGCATTCCTCTAGCAATCCCATTGATGATGCAAAAACGTTGAGGCCAGTCAAGCATGCAACTTTTGGTTTCATCTGTCAACACAAGATTACCATATATATAGATTTAGATTTAGATTTAACAGACTACTTTTACTTTAAAATGAAAATAATAGAATGATGAAAGAGGTGAACCAAATAGAAGTAAGTCCAGGCTTTTGTTAGACAGGTATTCATAAATCAGGATCCTTTCTTCTCCATCCATGCAGTATCCAACAAGCTTCACAAGATTCCGATGTTGAAGTTTAGCAACACAAACAACTTCATTGTAGAATTCATCATAACCCTGTTCAGAAGTTCTAGAAAGTTGCTTCACAGCTATTTCTTGTCCTGTTTCCAATACTCCCTAAAGATTATAATCAGAATTATGACAAGCTTTACTTTTTCTGTTAACTGAGCAAAGCTATAAATCCATGCAAGAAGTTACCTTGTAAACAGGACCAAAGCCACCTTCTCCAAGCTTATTGTTGATTGAAAAGTTATTGGTAGCCTTGGTTATTATAGATAAGCTAAAAAAATTCATCTCGAGATCTTCCTTTTGTACATCTGAATTATGTCTATCAATGGAGTGTACCCTTCGACCTACAAAGTGATACACATGAGTAACAGAAATGTCTACTTTTCCGTTTGTTTTACATTTTTCTGAAAAAAAAAAAAAAAAAACTTCCATCTGTTTAAAGCATGGAATTGTGAATTTTTTGCCTTACCTCGTCCTTTCATGTAAGACCTTTTCTTTTTCATCCTGAAAGCATGCACTGCTACAGACATGCCCATCAACACCAGTAAAATTGACAAGACTACAGTGAGTATTTGGATCTTTCTATTGAAGCCAGGTTGGGAGACTGTAAGACCTTCATTTACAAAAATGAAATACATTCAACGGCTATTCTTACTAAAGTTATAAAAGTCCAAGAGTAAAAATATGATGTTGTGAAGAAATTTGTGTACCTGTTACTAGGGATGAAGGCATTCTTATGTAAAGATCTTGACTCTCTTCACAGACCTTAAGATCCATGAGTTCACCAAACCATAGCAAGCATCCACTCCCCCCTTTTCTGATATCTAAATTTGCATAAGCTGTACAAGAGCAATTTCTTCTGCAGGCTATCTCACACTCGCCAAGTGTCATGCTCCTATTGTACCATGAATATCGCGTGTCAGGAAATTTCATTTTAGTAACTTTCCGAAAGGCATCCCCACCCTTACAATCTAAAGGACTTTGGAGCTTACACCCATTAGACCAGTCTGCTATGTTCCATTCTTCAGGGCTTTTTGGTTCAAAACCTTCCATACAATTACAAGGAGGATTTGTGTTGGTGTTACAACTTCCATAAGGACCACAGATTCCATAGTGACCACAACTATCAATCAGACCACTTGTATACACAAGCCAATCCTGACTTCGATTGTTCCAATGCAACATTGATATGCTTCCATCCCACTTCAAATGTATTATCTGAACAATTGAACTCTTAAGCTCAAATTTATAATATACTTCCTTCTGGCTGACAACAAAATCAAGAGAGTATATTGGGTTTGACATCTCAGTAGGCAAACCACTAAACCTGATGCCATTCCATGGTCCAAATCTTACATCTACTACTACACCTTGGCTCAATAATATTTGTGGATATCCATTTGTATCTATATAACTTACATACTGACCTGGAGAAGGATCATTGGGACCTTTCCATGATGTCAAGCTCCTGTTTGTGCCTGTTATGAAGTCCATACCAAGTTTCATTCCAGCTAGCAAGGTGTCACCAGGATAATCAAAACTTTGCCATATGAAATTTGACTTATTAGAACTACTACTACTACCATCTTTTACAACAAAATTTCCAGTATCCAAAAGTTGTGCCACTGGATTGTTATTGTACCTAACAGAAGCAGAGGAATTGGATGACCAGATCACTGTATCACCACAGCAGGAAAGCAACAGGAGTCCCTCACTACTGACTTTGAGTTTGCCTGTTCTATTGAGTAATGGAGACTCTCTGTTAGCAATCCATACCACTCTACCTGTTGATATCTTCTTGAACCATATTCCCAAGTATCGATTGTTTGAGTTACTGGGGCTAAAGAAGCCCAGTTCATACATTCCTCCAGTTGAAACAATGGTCTCACCATCATCTTTGATGCCTTGATTTGAAGCTATGCTGTCTACAGAAAAAGAACCTGAGAAGAGCAAGAATAAGGAAATTGTGCACAATAAACCTGTGAAAAGGCCTTCCATCAACGATTTACTAAATTATTTCTTCCTCGGGAAAATATTGTCTGGTTGGGAGCGCAGACATAGCTGACCGCAGGCGTGGACCCCATAATTATGATTGAGATTTTATTACATAGGAACAAAACCTGCCAAAAAAATAAATTTATTTGTATTAAAGAAAGCGTCTTGGAAATTTACAGATTTCACATCGTATCGTTGTTCACGTGCTCTTACCTGTGTTGATCTGCTGACGAATGAACATATCTCCTTTGAGCTGTTCAAATTTGAAAGATTCAATTTAACTTATTTAAATGAATATTTTAGATACTCTGTCCAAACCACAACAATTAATATTGCTGCTTGCATCCGACAATAAATAAATATAAGGGATAATTTATGACCCCATACATATGTAAACAATAAAACGTTTGACTATTTTCGATTCAGTACTAAGTATTTCCATTTAACTCGGTCACATTCAATCAATCGGATATGTAACTCTAAGCCGACATTAAACAGCAATTATAAATAAAAGCAGGGAGCGAAACATCAAAACAATAATCAACTTATTTGTCATACAAAAGTAAAAACATGAAACTCAAAATTCAGTCAGAGATCATGTTCATACCTTCGAATCATAGCATCAAAAAATAGAAACAAAATTAAATGCACCCGCGCACTGAGACTGTTTTTTTACCTTCCCCAGAATAACTCGGAATTCAAAACGAAATTCCGAATTCGCATCCCGCGAGCATGAGTAGCAAAGTCAAAATCAAGAAGGAAGGCAAAGTCTCCAGAATTTAGACTTTTGATTTTTGTCTACTCTTTCGAAATATGATGCGGATTACCCGGACCGAATGAAGATAAGGTTATTCGGTTCGGGTTATAACTTATAAGGGGGTGTCGTCATCGTGTCACGGATTATTTTCCGAGAGAAAAACCGTAGAAATGGTCGATGTGGTTTCTGATTGATTTAGGTAAAGTCAAAAAAAACCTTTACTAAGTTCCGTGGATGTTAGTAAAATGTTAAGGCATGCATACCAAAAAAATTGTCATTTTACATTGACATACGTTTTTATAACACTAAGTAAAGAAATAATCAATATGTTGTAACAAAGGTTGTCGAAATTAGGATACTATGTAAGGTTGGTTTTTGGTTTGTAAGATCGGGATCATAAGATCACGATCGGAATCCTAACATCTCATAAAATAAAACATAATTTTAATTTATAATTTTAAAACATGAAAAATTAAATACACTCGCACACTGAGACTGTTTTTTTTTTTTTTTTATCGTCCATTGAATAACTCGGAATTCAAAACCAAATTCGGAATCCGCATCCCGCGAGCATAAGTAGCAAAGTCAAAATCAAGAAGGAAGGCAAACTCTCCAGAATTTAGACTTTTGATTTTTGTCTACTTTAAAAAATCAAAAGAGCGACGAAATATGTTGTGGATTACCCGGATGGTATGAAGATAAGGTCATTCAGTTCGGGTTATAACTTATAAGGGGGTGTCACGGATTGTTTTTCGAAAGAAAAACCGTAGAATGGTCGATGTGGTTTCATGATTTATTTAGGTAAAGTCTAAAAAAAAATACGAAGAAAATATCAGTAAAATGATAAGACACGATGTTATACTAAAAAAATATCATAGAAGTCATCCCATGGTCTTATAATACAAAGATAGGAAATAAACATGTTTTAACACCTATCAATTTTCATATCATTAGTTTTTTTTTTTTCGATGTCTTTCTTTTATTTGTTTTTTTTTTATTTATGTTATAATGTTTATAAAAAAAATATAAATCAACGAGATATGCTATTTAATTAAATCCTAAATTAAACATTACATAAAAAAACTAAAAATAATGTTACACAAGAAAAAAATAACATTAAATGCAAAAAATACAATAGTCATAATTTAAAAATATAAAAACATTACAATAGTCATAGTCCAAATATTTATTTTCGATCTTCTCATTCATCTTTCGTATTACTTGCACTTCGCGTGGCGTTATATCTTCTTCCCGAGTGCCAAGAATCGTCAAATCCTTCACTATTTGATCTTCATCTACTTGATGGAAGAAATTTCAAGTATTGGTGTTGCACTTCGACATGGTATTGTTCTCTCGTGACTTTAAACAAATCGAAATCATTCGCACCACTTTGCTTTTGCGAATAAAATCTCATGAAAATCTCATTAAACTTGGTGCACCTATGATTGATTAAGTCCACTTGCTACTAAGCATATTGACATTGCGATATGGTTGTTTTTTCAAAATCATGTGAAATTTTCCGAACATAATTTCCAAAAAACCAATTCTCCTCATCATTTCCTACAATTGGATTTTTTGAAGTCCGGTACCACGCGACCGTTAATGCATACTCCTCCTCCGATGTCCACCATAGTGGAGCTTCTTCTTCACTTTTTGCAATCATATTCCCTTTCTTTTTACCTTTCCGACTACCTCCCGCTTGCATTTTGGGAACCGTATCTTGCGTTGGTTGTGTAGTTGTTTATGGCATGGAAGCAAATGTATTGAAAATATTTTGTTGAAGGTTTAGGTTTTATTGCATATATTGCGATGTAGAAAATTACATTAAGGTGATATGATATTGAAATTTTTTCCTGAAAATGGTATTTATAGTGAGTTTTTAGAGTTAAGAACAGTGTTTTGAAAACCAGACCGGACCAGCCGGTTAAACCGGGAACCGGCAAGGTTACCGGTTTTTTAAGGGCTAAAAACCGCTTGTAAGCCGAACCAGTAAAAACCAACGGTTTTCTTAAGAACCGGAAAAAACCAGAGTAGTTCAACCGGATACAAAACTGGTTTTTTAAAAAATTTGGCTTACTCACGACATAGAACAAGCCGGCTCAAAGGAGCCACCCTATTTACTGAGGTGTCAATTTGATTAGCTATGCTGTGGAATACTCTTTTTATAAGCAAACACAGCCCTCTATTTCTATTAACCTATCGATGTGGGATGTATTTCATATTCAAACTTTATACTACCACTTCCTTTACAAGCAATAACTTCCCAGGGGTCACCCATCCCTGGATTGCTCTCGTCCAAGCACGCTTAACTACAGAGTTCTTATGGGATATGTGGTCCTCACGACTTTAAAACGTGTTGTGACAGGGAAGGTATCCACACCCCTTATAAGGAATGCTTAGTTCCCCTTTCCAGCCGATGTGGGATCGGGTCTAACCCACCTTCATTACACTCGCTGACTACCCACACAATGCATAACAAACTCATGAAAAGAAATAGATTGTAGTAGGGCATTTTTTACTAATAAACTTTTTTTAGACCTTACTAAAGAAATCGTCAAACCACAAAGACCATTTTGTAGTTGTCTTTTCAAAACAACGCTTAAAAAAAATTAATAAGTCACAAAAAAAGATTTTGGCAATCTTAAAAAAAAACAAAATGATTTTTTCAATAGTTTTAAAAAGCCTTCAAAAAAAAGATTATATATATATATATATATATATATATATATATATATATATATATATATATATATATATATATATATATATATATATATGTTTTTATGTGTTTATGATTTTATGATTATTTCTGATTTTATGATTATCAGTTAAATCAACTCATGTTTTTCACATGAAACAAAAAAATCTATTGAAAAAAATAATTACTTAGTAACCTTTCACATATGTCCAAATAATGATAAAACATGCAAATGGACCCCACGAACAATATAATACATGAGGGCTACGATATCGGATTTGTTTGTGGCAAATCAGATTCAATGAAATAATATTCCTGACCATTGACCCGGTGACTTCAAAAACAAAATACGGCTTACAGTCATGCAGATACGTTGTCACATTTCTCACTTTTGAACTTCAGATCATAATTCATCTTAAGGTTTAGGCAAGAGCTCATAAAACTTTTGTAACCGGATTGACACCCTTCTCTCATAATCCCTAAATCTTGAATCTTTTTGCATGGGGAGATGTCGGTATATATATTCAATAGAAAATAATTTGTTGATGGGGACGGGATCTTCTACCAGTTTTTGGTGTATTAATATACTTCATCAAAAGTCAGGAATAACAAACTCCCACTATCATCTATTCTTCTATTAGCTTTAAACTCCCACTCTCCTCTCATCTCTCTAAAGTAATTATAAGATGTGGAATATCATTTTCTTAACCCCTTAAAGCATTACTTGTTCCTTTCCATGTGGTTTCTTCTTTCTTTATAATAAAGGTGTTGCAACTTGCAAGATCATCTTTATATTCCAATTGAATATAACATTCATTCTTCTTATAATCTGATATATAATCCAGTAAAGTATATCCCATATTATCCCAACCTAGTAAAAAAAATATATGTATTTGAAAGGAAAAGGGCATACTCAAATATGATACAATTGACAAAATAATTTGTTGTGTTGTGGCCACTATAAGACTGATGAAAGGAAAAGGGCATACTCAAATATGATACAATTGACAAAAGCATGCAGCTTAATGATACATAATACAGAAAAAACCACTAATGGTGTAGGAGAAGAATGTGTCGAGGCTAAATATACATTACTATTTGGCATATGAATACAAATTTCCTACCGAGGAACCAACAATGTTATAGTTGCTTCATCAACTTTGGAAAAAGTGTAGTGCTTACGTGAACCTTCTTCAGCAAAGAAAGCAGGTTGTCTAGGTGGAGGTAGTGATCCATCACCACCCAACATCATAACCACAGAGGACATAGTTGGCCTATCTTGTGCATGATTTTGTACACATAATAGCCCAACATGTATTGATCTTTTCACCTCTGAGATAATGCATGAGTTGTGTAAAGATGGGCTCATGAGTTCAAGGTACTTGCCTTCTGTATATAGTCTCCATGCCTGGATGAAACCAAAAAGTTAACAAAATATTTTCAAAAGAAGATAATCCATGAGATTTACTTACATGTCCAAGAAGGTTATCATTGAGATCTTCATGTGAGAATTCTCTGTTTTTCTTCCCACTCACTATCTCCAGCACCAAAACACCAAAACTAAACACATCTGATTTTACAGAGAAACGCCCATGAAGTGCATATTCGGGTGATATATAACCACTGTAAAACACCAAAAGAATGACAGATAAGAAAATGAACCCCATGGTGCACATTATTTAGATACTTACTATGTTCCAACTACTTTCTTTGTTTTGGCTGTAATCTGGTTTCCTTCAAACTCTCTAGCAAGGCCAAAATCTGATATTTTAGGGTTCATGTCATGATCCAACAGAATATTGGCTGCTTTCAGGTCTCTGTGTATGATTCGAAGGCGAGAATCTTGATGGAGATAAAGCATTCCTCTAGCAATCCCATTGATGATGCAAAAACGTTGAGGCCAGTCAAGCATGCAACTTTTGGTTTCATCTGCCAACACAAGGTTATCATATAGATTCAGATTTAGATTTAACAGACTACCTACTTTTACATTAAGATGAAAATAATAGAATGATGAAAGAGGTGAACCAAATAGAAGTAAGTCCAGGCTTTTGTTAGACATGTATTCATAAATCAGGATCCTTTCATCTCCATCCATGCAGTATCCAACAAGCTTCACAAGATTCCGATGTTGAAGTTTAGCAACACAAACAACTTCATTGTAGAATTCATCATAACCCTGTTCAGAAGTTCTAGAAAGTTGCTTCACAGCTATTTCTTGTCCTGTTTCCAATACTCCCTAAAGATTATACTCAGGAATATGATTAGCTTTACTTTTTCTGTTAACTGAGCAAAGCTATAAATCCATGCAAGAAGTTACCTTGTAAACAGGACCAAAGCCACCTTCTCCAAGCTTATTGTTGATTGAAAAGTTATTGGTAGCCTTGGTTATTATAGATAAGCTAAAAAAATTCATCTCTAGATCTTCCTTCTCTACATCTGAATTATGTCTATCAGTGGAGTGTACCCTTCGACCTACAAAGTGATATACATGAGCAACAGAAATGTCTACTTTTCCTTTTGTTTTACATTTTTCTGAAAAAAACAATTCCAGTATGGCATTGTGAATTGTTTAATGTTTTCCTTACCTCGACCTTTGATGTAAGACCTTTTCTTTTTCATGCTGAAAGCATACACTGCTACAGACAGGCCCATTAAGACCACCAAAGTTGGCAAGACTATGATGAGTATTTCAATCTTTCTATTGAAGCCAGGTTGGGAGACTGTAAGACCTTCATTTACAAAATGAAACAAGTTTAACAGCTTTTCTTACTAAAGTTATAACCAATCTCATTTCTAAAAGTAGTATTATAGTTCAGATTGGCTTGTTTAGCTTTCTTGTCCCTATTTGGTGTTTTCCCCTATGTAATTGTTGATGTTAAAAATATGAAGTGTTGTGAAATATTTAGAGTACCTTTTATTAGGGATGCAGGCATTCTTATGTAAAGATCTTGGTTCTCTTCACAGACATTGAGATCCATCAATTCACCAAACCATAGTAAGCATCCACTCCCCTCTTTTCTGATATCTAAATTTGCATAAGCTGTACAAGAGCAATTTCTTCTGCAGGCTATCTCACACTCGCCAAGTGTCATGCTCCTATTGTACCATGAATATCGCGTGTCAGGTAATTTCATTTTAGTAACTTTCCGAAAGGCATCCCCACCCTTACAATCTAAAGGAATTTGGAGCTTACACCCATTAGACCAGTCTGCTATGCTCCATTGTTCTGTATTTTTTGGTTCAAAACCTTCCATACAATTACAAGGAGGATTTCTGTTGATGTTACAGCTTCCATAAGGACCACAGATTCCATAGCGAACACAACTGTCTATCAGACCACTTGTATACACAACCCAATTTTGACTTCGATTGTTCCAATGCAACAATGCTATGCTTCCATCCCACCTCAAAGATATTATCTGAAAAATTGAACTCTTAAGCTCGAATTTATAATATACTTCCTTCTGGTTGACAACAAAATCATGAGAGTATATTGGATTTGATGTCTCAGAAGGCAAACCACTAAACCTGATGCCATTCCATGGTCCAAATCTTAAGTCTATTACTAAACCTTGGCTCACAATTAATTGTGGGTATCCATTTGTATCTACATAACTTACATACTGACCTGTAGAAGGATCATCAGGACTCTTCCATGATGTCAAGCTCCTGTTTATGCCTCTTACAAAATCCTTACCAAGTTTCATTCCAGCTAGCAAGGTGTCACCAGGATAATCAAAACTTTGCCATATGAAATTTGACTTATTAGAACTACTACTACTACCATCTTTTACAACAAAATTTCCAGTATCCAAAAGTTGTGCCACTGGATTGTTATTGTACCTGATGAACGCGGAGGAATTGGATGACCAGATTAGGGTATCGCCACAGCAGGAAAGCAACAGGAGTCCCTCACTACTGACTTTGAGTTTGCCTGTTCTATTGAGTAATGGAGACTCTCTGTTAGCAATCCATACCACTCTACCTGTTGATATCTTCTTGAACCATATTCCCAAGTATCGATTGTTTGAGTTACTGGGGCTAAAGAAGCCAAGTTCATACATTCCTCCAGTTGAAACAATGGTCTCACCATCTTTGATGCCTTGATTTGAAGCTATGCTGTCTACAGCAGAAGAACCTGAGAAGAGCAAGAATACAGAAATGGTGCACAATAAACTTGTGAAAAGGCCTTCCATCAACGATTAGACTCTTTCACAGGCGTAGAACCAATAATTGTGATCGAGATGTTATTTCAAAGACTGCCAAAAATAATTTTATTTGTATCAAAGAAAGCGTCTTGGAAATTTACAGATGATTGAACATATCTTACCTCTTTTACGCTGTTCGGGTTTGAAAGATTTAATAGAACTTGTTTAATAGAATATTTTATCCAAACCACAACAACTAATGCTGTTTGCATACGAAAATAAATATAATCTCTGACCGCATGCATACCAATAAAACGTTGACTATTACCGACATTATTCAGTATATTTCCATTTAACTCAGTCGAACTCGCTGTCTAAACAAGGGCTTGGAAGCTATAATCCGTTCTCCTAAATTCAATCAATTGGATAGGTAGACTGTAAACCGACATTATACTGCAATTACAAGTAAAAGCAGTGAGCGAAACATCAAAAGAATAACCAACTTATTTGTCCACAAAAGTAGAAACATGAAACTCAAAATTCAGTCAGGGATCATGTTCATACCTTCGAATCATCGCGTCAAATAATAGATACAAAATTAACTGCAGCCGCGCACTGAGACTGTTTTTTTACCTTTCCCAGAATAACTCGGAATTCAAAACAAAATTCCGAATTCGCATCAATAGCAAAGTCAAAATCAAGAAGGTTTGCAAAATCTCCAGATTTTAGACGATTAGTTACGTTTAACAAAGGCGTGAGGGAATTCCATACCTTTGTTCGGTGCCTCCTTCGTCTACTGGGCACCAGTATTTTTGATTTTTGATTTTTGTCTACTTTAAAATCGGGGGATTCTAATGACACCATGTTTGAAAACCGCCATTAGTCGTTATGGTATTGGTGTATGTCATTCACTGTTTGCATATCATTAATATATGAAAAACTATTAAAAATTTGATATGATATCTGGACAGTCAAGGCTGCTAACATAATTTCAATTATTTTTAAATTTTTTTTCATTTTAACTCCTTTTAACTTATATATAAATTTTAAAACACACCCTTATATTTTTTATTTTCATTTCAAATTTAATAACTTGATTATTTATTTGCAATATATAAGAAAAATATATCCGAACAATTTAAAGAAAAATCAATCTCATCGTATGCCTTGCTTACATGATTTCAATTCTTTTTACATTTTTTTTATTTGGACTCCTTTAATTTATATATAAGTTTTAAAACCCACCCATATATTTTTTTTTATTTTCATTTCAGATTTCAATAACTTGATTATTTATTTGAAATATATAAATACAAATATATGTTGATAATCTTAAAATTTATACCATTGACGCGTATTTACATTTTATATTTCTTATTTGGTATTATGTACATTAGTATTAATGTATAAAAATATAAAAATCCAAAACATTACAAATTTTAAAAAACTATCCCAATAATAAAAACCTTTAAATAATGTAAATTATAAACGTTCCATATTTTATTTTTAGTATTGCTTTAAACTTATATCCACTTTCAATAAGTTTATATTTTACTAATTGTTAATTATATATTTTATCATTTTAAAGTATAACTTTAATGATCGATCAATTATGATATTTTTATCATTACGTAAAACAATCAATACATGTTAAGTTAAATTTAACAAGAAGGTTACTTAACATAATTGTGTTGTCGGCAACTTCGGTTTGTGAAGTATTTCTATTTATAATTTTAGCAAGTAAGTTACTAAAATGGAGAACCGGTAATCGGACCATGTTATCAATTCCGGTTCCGACGGTTCTAATGTTCATCCCTAGCAATGAGGAATCTCTTGCATAATCATCCAATATTCATTTTGTGTAGAACCCAATACAATGAAACTATCTAAGTTGTTTATATACTCCTGAAAAATTATTGCATAATGTTCCTAGTTTTCTAATAACTCGTATAATTCTGAACGGATTTGATCCTAATAATTTTGACTATAACCGAGGGAGATAGTTATTGCCCAAAATCCATAATTTCCATCACCCTCCACATCTTTAATGTTTGTAACGTATGGATGAAATTCATTTAGAATTTCACTCATAAGTGAATTTGAATAAAATATTGAAGGTTGTTGAAGTGAAAACGTATTGTGCCTGTAATCACACCGAAATAAATATGGGTTAGTTATTGTAAATGTAGGATAACTTAAATGACCATAAATATAAATATAGTTTTATTATTTTGATTACATCGAAATAAATATAGAGTATTTATTATAAATGTAAGATAAATTGAATGACCATAAATATAAATATAGTTATATTATTTGGATTTGATTATAAATATAATCATATTTTAAATTTATTATAAGGACGCTCTTATATAATTTTACGCATGTAGGATCGTAAGATTATAGGTATGATCATATGATTGAGATCCAATCCGATCCTACCTTTCATTGATATATATATATATATATATATATATATATATATATATATATATATATATATATATATATATATATATATATATATGTTTTGTTTTGCAAATGAAATTCTTTTACCATTTTATGTCTTTTACCCTTTGCCAAATTACCGTTTATCATTTTGTGTTATGACTTATGACTAATTAATATTTTGAAGTTTTTATAACTATTGAACAAAAATTGAATGTTTCAAATATTTTTCATGTTAAAACTATAAATTAAAATTATGTTTTATTTTGTAGGATCTTAGGATCTCGATCCTGATCTTGCAAACCCAAAAATGATCCTATGTAGGATCCCGATCTTGACAACCTTGTGTTTGCTGTTTTTAAAAAACACTTAATTTTTTTTATTAAATTATGTTTTATATAATTATTTAAAACCTGTTGGTCTTACATAATAATGTATTTAGACCATTCCCATTCATGACTAAAACTAAAGTCGGTTTCAAGAATAATAATAAATAAATGAGAAATAGGGACAAAAGCCACCGACGGAGTGGGCACATCTACCACAAAGTTGGTATTACTTTTCTTTTTTTTTAATCCACATGTCCTCCTATAAATTAACCATTAGATTTTTAGGATAAAATCATATATTTAATAAAATCTAACATTATCCACTTTAAACCGGAAACGATGAGCTTATATTGAAGTTGACGATCAAAATTTAGAATATTCTACTTAACGAATTGCAGACCTATCCAGTTATATGACTAATAGGGCACAACTTCGTAATAGAAAAGTTCATAACATTTTGAAAAACAATTTAATTGAGCATATATGGCAAAAATTTGACATTGATGTATAATTATGTAGTTTGCATCTTCGTATCTATAATCTTGTAAGTTATGTTTTAATTGTAACTTTCTTTATTTATTTTATTAAGGTTGTTTTATAAATATAAAATATATTTTTTAGTTTTATATTTAAAATAAATAATTTATTAATAGAACTAAATTAAATGTTTTTTAATAGGAAAAAAAATAATCTTAAAATTTGTTACTTATATAATAAAAAATGGTTTGAGTTGGTTTGCTATGGGTGTAAAAAGTTGGGTTTAGTTGGGTTGAGTATGTGGAAGAGAAAGAAACTATTTAATTAATGGATAATTTGGTTGGTTTTAGATTTGAATGAGAGAAGTCTTACGAAAACGCACTGGATCGGAGATGTTGGTGATGGTGGAGAAATCTGTTGTGGCGGTGGTATTTACAAACATTGTTATGATATTACTCATATTTAATTTTTTAAAATTCAAAAAATTAGCAATCTAGGGTTTCTGATTAATCTGTGCATAGCCGATTGATCTCTTAATCATAATCAACCGACTAGCTAATGTTGAACGTTTTTTATAACCTTGATATCATGGTTGTCAACATCGCGATCCTGATCGTAGGATTGTACGATCCTACGATCCCAGGTATCAAAAACGATCTGGATCGTAAACGGATCATATTTAGGGTTGGATCGCATGTAGGATCGTAAGATTGTAGGTTGGATCGAGATTCGATCCGATCCTACCTTCTCTTGATTTTTTTTGTTGCAAATGAAAATTATATTTACCACTCTATGTCTTTTACCTTTTACCAATTTACCGTTTATCATTTTGTGTTGTGACTTATGAGTAATATTTTGAAGTTTTTATAACTTTTAAATGAAAAAATAAATGTTTTAAATATTTTTCAAGTTTAAAAATTATAAATTAAAGTTACGTTTTATTTTGTGGGATCCTAGGATCCTGAACCCGATCTTACAAACCCAAAAGCGATCCTACGTAGGATCTCAATCTTAACAACCTTGCTTGATATATATATATATATATATATATATATATATATATATATATATATATATATATATATATATATATATATATATGAGACGGCCTACGTTAGGTTCATACGAGACAACCTAATTTTATGAGATCGTAAGACCAATTTTTAATAGATGGAATATTCTAATATTCTAGTGTTTATAAAAATAAAATGTGTAATATTCTAATATTTAAAAAACAATAATTTTAACATATTTTATATTAAAATATTCTGAAACATATAATGTTAGAATATATTGCGTATTTTATTTTTACGAACAATAAAATATTTGAATATTTCACTAAAAAAATTTAATCTCAGTCTCACAAAATTATGTTGATTTATATATATATATATATATATATATATATATATATATATATATATATATATATATATATATATATATATATATATATATATATATATGTTAAAAGTAGTTTTCTTTAAATGAAAAGGTGGAAAATCAAATATAAAGTATAAATAAAAGGGCCAAAATTGTAATATTTCAATCAACCTGTCTATGTCTACGTAGATAAGAAAACAAAATAATAATAATAAAAATAAATATAAAGTAAAATAAAACAAAAAAAATAGAAATATATATATATATATATATATATATATATATATATATATATATATATATATATATATATATATATATATATATATGAAAGTTAGGAGTAGTAAACTTCTTAAGAGTTGGGTAAGATTGTCCCGAAGGTTATTTATGTTTGTTCTTTTTTCTTGTCAACTTTTTTTTTTTTTGTTACTTTTTGTCCTCCAACTTACGTTGGTTTTAAAAAACTATTTACAATATTGATCTTTGGACAAAGTACACGAATGGTCCCTATGGTTTAGTGTTTGTTACGCGCCTAGTCCCTAACTCCATTTTTTAACCATGCCAATCCTTAATAGTTTGGTTTAGTGCACGGATAGTCCCTCATCTAACATTCCGTTTGATTTTGGAGTTAAAACCCCCACGTGCCTTGCACGTTGAGGGGTATTTCCGTCATTTTACTTATTCATCCTATAAAAACCCTAGATCAGTGCATCCCCCTTTTCTTCCTCTACGTTTGTTCTCTCATTTCATCTCTCGTTTCTTTAATGGACAAAAAATCAACAATGATGAAATGTAATTGCGGGCAACCAAGTGTTATACTGACATCATGGACCGACGACAACCCCGGAAGGAAGTTTTATGGCTGCACAAAGAAGGTAAGGTCGTTTTGATTCTAACTCAAGCTTTTGTGTGACAATGACCGCAAATCTGTTGGATTTGAACTTGACAGGGACCTAAATGTAAGTTTATTGGATGGGTTGATGAGGAAGGATGTGGACGATGTACTAGGATAATTCCAGGGTTGTTGAAGGCTAAGAACAAAGTTGAAGCTGAGAATCGACTGCTGAAGATAATCATTATTTTAAGTTGGGTGTTCATAGGAATCATTATTTACAAGTTGTAGTGCTTAAGAAGATCCAACTAGTATGCTATGTCTGATGTTTGTCTTTTTTGAACTTATTTTGACTTCTATGATCCATCTAGTTGGTTGTTGTATGTGAATTTGAAGTGTTTTGAAGTGTTTCTGGAATGTATTTTGATTAAGTGTTTGTGAATTTGATAATATTTTGGTTAAGTGTTTCATTAAGTGTTTTTGGAGCTTATTTTGACTTCTATGAGCCATGTATTTTCATCAAGTGTTTCTGGAACTTATTTGGAAAAGTAAACACTAACAATTGACAAAAACAACCAATAACATATGCTAACAATCGACATAAACAACCAATAGCACAAGTGGGATTTAATAAAGGGTAATTTAGTTTCCATACTTTCCATAACATAGTTTCATACATCAACAAAATGGTTAATAGTTTCATACATCAACAAAATGGTTAATAATTTCATACATCAACAAAACGGTTAATAGTTTCATACATCAACAAAATGGTTAACCAAAAGAAACATAATTTACCCAAAAGTGTTAACCATAAGGACACAGTTTTACCAAAAAGACACAATTTAACCAAAAGAACTATTAACCAACAAAATAAACTTTCACTAATAGATCAAGACAATGTCATCAATTTCCCTCAACCAGCTTTTCCTTTTCCCTTACCAGAACCACCAGGACCACCAGAACCACTAGGAGCATTAGCTTTTTGTCCCTTACAACTCCTTGCATTATGACCAATGTTGTTGCACTTTGAACAAGTAACCGACTGAAGGATTCTTGATGCACTATTACCCTTCACCATGTCATCAATTTCATAAGCTGATTTTCTGCGTTTCTTCTTTGGTCTACCAATTGTGACATGATGTTTAGGAGGAACCAAAGTTGTTGGACACACAGACTTTTCCCACATGCTTCTCCCATTAATGGGCTCAATTTTGAATGAGTACATCTGTTTCCAAGTTTTTAGCCAATATACCTCATGCACCCAAGTTTCTGGTATTCCAACATCCTTACTATTCTTCCTCATCTCCCATATAGTAGCAACAGCATGTTTGCATGGCATCCCAGTGAGTTCCCATTTCCTGCAGGAGCATGTTTGTTGAACCACATCCACCGCGCATTGGTCCATCCAAGGGCCACTTACCTGATACTTACCATTTCCACAAAATACAGATCTATAATCTTCTGCCTGTTTTTTTATATTTTCCAAAGTCTGCATAGCTGTAGGTGTCAAAGGACCAGTACATTTCCCAATGGCCTTTTCTACATTCACAATCTTCTTCATTAGATATTCCCTAATGAACTCTAGGCAAGTAATAATTGGTTTATCACGACCCTCATTCAGTTTTCCATTGAATGTTTCACACAAGTTATTAAGAATCACATCAGAATGTGCTCTCCCTGTCCAATCACATCACTTAAAGTCAATTAAATAAAACTACACAAACCAGGAAAACATACAGAATGTTATTAGAGTTAAATATTATACCAGTGAAATGGGACCTAGACCAGTGCTGAGGTGGTATCTTCTTAAGCCACTCATAACAATCCTTGTTTAATTTCTTTAGCTCTTCCATGCCTTTGTTAAACTGTTGTACATGTGTTGCAGTTGCACATGTCCATAAGAGGTCTTCGAAAGGTTTACCCCTCCATTGCTTCCTCATGTTATCCCGAATGTGACGAACACAGTAACGATTTTCAGCACAAGGAAACAAGTCCGCAATTGCATTTAGAATACCCTAACAATCATACATAGATTTTGTTAGTAAACAATTTAGAAATAAAGTAAAAAAAAATCTATGATTTTAGTACCTTTTGTCTGTCTGTTATAAAAGTGAAATTAGAATTGGTATTCAAGCCAAGATCCTCCCCAAGACAACTCAAAAACCAAGTCCATGAACTGATGTTCTCTGTTTCAACCACCGCATATGCCAATGGATATGTGCCATTATTACCATCTAGTCCCTGCATTTTATGATAAATAACAATCATGAATAGATTTTTACTTATTTTTATGTATAACAATAAGTAAAAGAACCATAACTAAAACTTACCACGGCTGAAAGAATTTGTCCTGGAAATGGACCCTTCATGAAAGCACCATCAAAGCCAAGAAAATCCCTCTTTCCAGCTGCGAAGCCTTTCTTTAAAGCTCCCAAGCATATGTAAATGCGTCTGAATGTCCTCGTTTCACTGTGTGGATTTCCTTCGCTTTCAACATCAACCCTAACAGTCGTATCTGGGTTACGAGTTTGCAACTCAACAATGTAATCTCTGAGTAAACTATACTGAGTAACGAAATCTCCTTGCACAAGGTTTAGAGCCTCAGATTTTGCCCTAAATGTTTTCATCCTAGAAAGATCTACCTTAAACCTCCGTTGTAGCTGTTCTTGCAAAGCCCTAATTGGAACACAGGGTTACTTTCAACCTGTTCAACAATTTTAGAAGAGAGGAATTTATACGTACATGCTTTTACTGTTCTAGTTTGAAGACATTTATGGACTTTGTTGTACGTTTTAACTGTCCAGTTGACATCTTTTTTCCATTTACTAGCTAATAAGACCCAAGGACATATTTCTTCTTCATCGTTGACTTCTACATTAGGCCCAAGCTTTGGTATTGTTCCCTTACAAACCCATCTCACTCTATTCTTGTCATTTTTTTCAAGAGCCAGCTCCCTTCTAGTCTCTATGGCATGGAGTTTTACCTTATCCTTAAACTCCTTTGCTGAACCAAATTTTTGAAAAATATAGAAGGGTTCACTAACAAGTGCTTCATCATTCTCATGTGCCCTTTGAATTGCTCTTATTGATTTCTTTCTTTGACCATTAATCCCCTCATCTGATGATGAATCAGATGCTAAAAAGTCAGTGTTAATCACCTCTAAAGCTTCATCCTGTGTGCCTTCATCAACCACAGTGTTAGACGACCCTCCAACCCATTCCACATCTTTGTCGATATTCATTTCAAAATCTTGCATATCCACATTAATATCATCCAATATATTTTCAATGTCCACAAAAAAATCACTATCATCACTTTCATCATTGTCACTCTCTAACTCACCAAACTTACCAAAGTCATTAGCATCATTAACCAAGTCATTCTCCATATGATCAGTGAGAGTAGCATCATTACCCAAATCATTCTCCATATGATCAGTGACAGTAGCATCATTACCCAAATCCTTCTCCAGATGACCAGTGGGTGTAGGATCATTACCCGATTCTTTCTCCATGTGATCCATGTCATCCTCCAAGTCAACAGCAGGTGTGCTATGCCACTCCAGGAACAGTGTCTTTGAACAAGATGGAGGTTCAGTAATCTCCGTTATACGAACTTTACTGTGGGTTGGGGACATTAAATAGGTGTGCAGAGTAGTTTTGTCATGCTCTATATATACCTCAATTAACTTATGCTTAGCCACAAAACTCCCCAAATAACGAACATCTTCATCACTAGCTAAAGCGAATAACCCAAAATCTAAATCGCCTAAAGGCCTTTGAAAGTGATAGTAAAGTGGTTTACCTATTGAAGCATACCCTAGGTCTTCCATCATCTCATCAATGTCATGAACGGAAAAGGTATCAATGTCCAGTAAATCAACAAATGTTTTCTTCCCACGAATATACTTCCTTCCAGGAAAGCTTGTAAACTCACCTCCATGGTGCATTCTTATTGAAAACATTGTCGGATGTCCAGCTGTAGAGGAGAGAATCGTTTTTAGCTAACAAAATTAAACCTTTAACAGTCAATATCATTCAAACGAAAGTCAATCAAACATACCATAACTTTGATCAACGTCGATTTCATCCATTTCACCACGAATGTGCCAAGAAACCATTGCAATTCTTTGTTCTTGCAATCGTCGATACTAGGGTTTTCACGTAAGGATTTTGCACAAAGTTGTGTGTTTTTTTGGGTATACGATTGTGTAATGTAGAGTATGATCGTTTAATTGAACGCATCGATTTCTTAAACTGGCGGTAGGATGAATAAGTAAAATGACGGAAATACCCCTCAACGTGCAAGGCACGTGGGGGTTTTAACTCCAAAATCAAACGGAATGTTAGACGAGGGACTATCCGTGCACTAAACCAAACTATTAAGGATTGGCATGGTTAAAAAATGGAGTTAGGGACTAAGCGCGTAACAAACACTAAATCATAGGGACCATTCGTGTACTTTGTCCTTGATCTTTTACCTTTATACTTTTGTTCATAAACAACTCTTTCACTTTCGTTTGAATTTTTCATAACTATCGCATTTTGTTACATATTATTAGTATTTAGTTTTTGGTAGAAATGGTCGCTAATTATTATTATTATTATTATTATTATTATTATTATTATTATTATTATTAGACAAAATTACATGATTGGTCCCTATGGTTAACTAGATTTAACACGTTGAGGACAACAATGGAAACCGAAATCACTCTTTTACTCCTAATCCTTTTTTTTTATTAATTTATATTTCTCTTTTTGGTTTTAAATTAATGTTTATTTATTAGAAAATATCCACCCAATACCATAAAGCCACCCACTAGTTGTCATCACCACCACCACCACCACCGTTAAAATTACATAAATGGTCAATATGGTTTGCCCGTCGTCACAAATTCAATTCTTACTACTTTAAAAAACCAAATTACCCTTATATTAACGGACAAAAAACAACGTTATATATTTTCCGGATTGGTTTTCCGGTCGCTACCATACATGGTAATAAAGTTCAATTTGTGATACTATGTCTTTATTTTCCTCATTTATTGAAAGAAATAATGATTTAGATTTCTTTACTTATGTAATTAGATAACATTGTTTATCTTCTTTTACTAGATTATATAGATTATGGAAATGATTCTTAGCAATAGTAAACTGGCGGATTTTTTTTGCAAAAATGGTCCCTCAACTATATTTGAGTATTTTGTGTCAATATCCAGATTTTGATAGTATCTTTTTGGCCTTCAGGTTTTTACCACAAATCTTTGGTGCATTTAACATTTTCGCCATTAAATTCAAAACATTTATATTTTTGCGTTTTCATTAAATTTTTCTGCTTTTTGGCTTTTGCCACAAAACTTTAGTGAGTTTGACACTTTTAGTCCTTATAGTCAAAAGTTTTACATTTTTGATGTTTTTGCTACAAATCTTTTATGAATTTGACACTTTTCGTTCTTGTACTAAAAACTTTTACATTTTGATATTAAAAAAAACCTCATTTTGAATTTTGTCATCATATTTTCCCAACATTGGCAACTTTAACATTATTGTCACAACATTTTTTAATTTTCGCCAGCAGTGTCCATTTTTTTGGTTGTACACTTTTGAAATCTAATTTTAGGGGTTGTCGACTTTCTCCCCTATTTGTGGTGATTTACAATTTCGGCACATATCTTTTAAAGTTTGATGATTATTCCCAAATTACCTCAAAAGTGGTGTAGCCGTGACCTCTTTACTAGTTTAATTATTAATAAATTAATAAAATAAAATGAAAATAAACAATCAATCGTATCATAAAATCAATTTTAATCATTTCATACTACCTGGGTATTTTAATCATTTAATAATGGAAGGAGTAATTAAAACATTACTTAGACGAAGTGTACGATAAAGATTGGGTAGCGGAAGAGAAGTGTGTCCCATTTTAGTTATAGGTATTAAAGATCCGTCACCAACTAATACAGAGTCGGAAAAATTACTAGTTTTATAAAAACAAAGTTAAGTTTACCCGCATTCGGATGAAGATGGTCGGTGGCACCGGTGTCCATGTACCAACCAGCTTGAACCGGATCATTTAGCGACATAGTATTGAACATTTGAGGTAGTCTATTGGGCTCCGAAGGTGACTGTTGACCATTTATGGGCCTTCTGTGAGGGGAAAGTGGTATTTGGCTGTGAAAAAAATTGATGTTGTGCACTTGCCAAAGACTGTTGGGCTGCTGCGTTTTGTGGCATGAGTTGTGTCGGCCCAATTAGTTGCTGTTCACTTGGGCTTGGCAGTAGGCCTTGCTGAAGCGACCCACTAGGTGGTGATTGAAACCATCCGAGAACCTAATTACCTCTAGCACCTTGAGCACACTGTTGCCCACCTCCATAATAGTTAGCACCACCGCCATGCTGAGATCTGCCACCAAAATTGTTGTAATTAAATCTTCCACCATTATTGCTATATCAACCACCTCCCCGACCACCACGACGTCCACCTCGTCCCCCACGGTAACCCCCGCGTCCTCCGCCATTGTTGCTATAAGTGCCATTAGTGTTCGGAGATTGAACCGTGAGCGCGCTCAGGGAAGACGAGTGATCAGTATGTGTGATGGCCGCATGATATTGCTCATCTTGAAGCATTTGCTCGACTTCACTTATTAAAACCGATCTTGCATCCCAAAACGATAAAGGTTGTCTATGTTACGGATGTTAAAAGCAATATACCTATATTTTTGTGGCAGTCCATTGAACATGTATGCAACTAAATTCGCTTCAGCTACCGGAGAATCCATGTGTTCGAGACGATCAGCAAGAGACTTGATTTTATTGCAATAATAGGTGATAGTGGAATTACCAAGGGAGATGTTTCGAAGGTCACGGTCGATCTGGATAACCTTGGAGGCTTTGTTATCACTAAAGACTTTTTCCAGAGTTGTCCACACATCATAAGTAGTGGATTGTTTTTTGAAAATCATGTTGAGAAGAGATATAGAAAGCGTGTGTGACAACTGCCAATTCAGGTCATTCTTGGACTCATGCATCTTTATAATAACCATTCATGCACAACATGTCATGACCTAGTAGTATAAATTAGGTCAAAAATCTTGCATAAACTAGGATCCAACTAAGGTCTAGGACTAATATACTTGATACTTACAATTCTAGTAAGTTGCTTAGCTACAATAGGAAATGCCAATACTATAATTAGAATAAGCTTCAAACTTTGTTATAATTGAAATAGGGTATAAAACTCTAAAAATAAATTAAAACACTCTAATTATACTTCAACATGTTGTTGAATACCAAACAATGTTCCAAAAACCCTAAAGAGCCAAAAATCCAAAGTTATAAAATATAAAGCTTAAAAACTTTATAAAATTTGGCTATAAACTTCCTAGTATCAAATTATATTAATCAAATTATGGATTATACCAATGAACTAGAAATATAAATTACAAGTATTAATCATAAATTATTTGTTGAAAACAAGATTTTTAAATAAATCAAATTGCTTAATAAACATTTTATAAAAATGAATGTTTTTATATAAAATATGGGAGGGAAGTTTATAAAGTTTAAAATTTAGGAGAGAGGAGGCCAAAAGGCATGCAAAAACCGGCCATCACCTCTCCCCATGCCCTCTCTCTTCCCCAAAACACAATCATCAAGCCTAAACCCTTACTCCACCTCTTCCACTTCACTCTCTCACTTCACTCTCTTCTTCCTTCTCTCTAAACTCACGAAAATCCTCTCAATCCTCTGCAAAATTTCCAGATTTTGAATCCCTTGAAGTGTTCTTACTTCTCTCAAGATCAAAACCAAGGTAAACAACAACATCTTCTTCCATAGTTTCATGGTTAAACCTCTTTTTCTTCTTAGTCTTCTCTACTTTTCGGATTCTATGCCTTTCCATGGCTAGAAATCTTTATTCTCCCCTTGTGGTTTGTAGATTCTCACCATAACACAATGCATGTGTTAAAGATGGTGAAAATCCGGGATCAAACCCATGCAAGGAGTGGAAAAGAAGCACATATGATCATGTGACATCAAAACATAATATTTCATGTTCTTCTCCATTTCTTGTGTGTTCATGCATGAACAAAAGCATTTAAACCATTTCTAGTACATCTTGGATGCTCATTCATTCCATGCATGTGTTAGAAATCGGGCCTTACCAAGGACATGCATGATGTTCTTATTGAAATACCCTAAAAATGCACACAAGCAAACATGCAATCTGCCAGATTATTTTGTTCGACTTTGAACAGTCATAACTCAGTCATTTTTTAACCAAATCATGATTCTTTTTTTGTATTGGTTAGTTCCACGAGTTAACTTTCAAACCCAACTGGTCTTACTGTAAAATATTAAATATCCGATTTTTGGCAGATTTTACAAAAAGGTTGCGCATACAGCTCTTTTTCTGTGATCACTATTTTTATCTTGCTTAAACAATGGTCTTAAACCCAACCATAAATCTTAGGAAAAATACCTTAGAAACTTAACATATCTAGTGAGTTATGGTTGAAATTTCGTGGCTTAAAACCTCACTGAATGGGCTACAAAAATTCATGAACCTCAGCCACATCTACACTTCATGCATTATTGCATGCAACTTTTCTTAAATTTTTGGAATCATTACCCTCATTTCTCTTCTGAATACATTCTTAACATTTTTACTTTTGAAAGCCCTTGCATGCATGAGATAATCTGGAAAATTTCAAGAGCTTTTGTTATTTTATTTTATTAGAATTATTGCTAAAACCAAGGGCATAAATCATATAAAATACTTCCAGAGGTCAATAATCCTAAATAAATTCATGGATGATACTTATGGGGAATAATGACCCCTCACCAAATTTCAGCAATTTTTGTTACTGTTTCATATGATTTCTAATTTTCTTTTATTTAGGACATGATAAATTACAAACCACTTTTTAGGATGTGAAAATTTATCTAACAATTTTCGCATACCTTACTTGTGATGGGTGACTCAAGAAAATAATTTCAAGATTTTTCATCATGTCTAGCTTTTTCCCAATTTTTGGTAATTATAATGGCTAAAAATGGGAAAATAGTTCTGATTATCCAAAATTCATGAAAATTTGCCAGGATATCATATTATATAGTA